ATGCGGCCGGGGGTCCTTTTGGCCACTGCAGGAAGCCAACAAACCCACAGGAGCATCCTTTTGTCTTTCAGCCTTAAATTCTTCCACCACCCAGACAAACCAGGATCTGTTTATGCAAACCAGAGGCCAGGGACAAAACCTGGGTTAGTCTTCTGCAGTTAACATGTGCATTAGAGGAATGGTTAACTAGGCAAACTTATCCCCTGACTATCTGGGAGAAGTTAAAGTGCCTGTGGGCAACCAGCCACAGAAATAGTTATTAAGGGGGGAAAAACTGGTTTTCCTTTTCTGGACTTGACTGTTGAGGAACAAAACCGTTTCCATTACCCTTCCCTTATTCTCCACATCCTGTAAAATCACCTATGGGCCTGAAAGCCTGTTTAATAGTTTGCATTAGAATTAAAGCTGATGCAACGTCCTTCCTGCTCTAACCCAGAAAGCTAAACCACAGCCTGGGATCTTTGGGGGCGGGGGGGGGGGGGAGGGGCAAAGAGGGGATGCCTCTAATTACTGGCACTCCAGGAGGGCTTGAATAGCAAAGGTTTTTATTCCAAAAAACCCTGGAAGTCTCACCTGTAGGCTAAAACAGATAAGAAAGGATTTTCCTTCCTTGCCCAGAGCAAGGTCTGCTGCTCAAAAAACAGGAAGAAGCCAGCTTGTTGGTCCTTCCTTGAACTTCAGAGGGCAACTCTTGGAGGAAAAGGAATTCTCTAGAACTGCAGTTCTCCTGTGCCTCCATAGCCAAAGCCAAACCAGTCAACGGGAAACCCTCCTTGCTTGCCTTGATCTATTTTGCCTTGTTTGCATTGTGTTTCTGATGCTGCCACCAAGCTGGTCTTGGTCATGGGCTCAGGTGGCTTCAATAGGACTCTTCCAGGACAGAATGGAATTGCTAAACAGGGCGGAACTGTCAAGAATTCCAGAGGAGACAAAAAACGATGCTCAGTGAAGAGATCAGAATGTCTCAGGTATTCAAGGCAATAAATAAGCAAAAGATCAACAAGTCACCAGGCCTGGACAACGAACAGAGAACATCAAAATACTCTAGCACCTTTCTAATTAGATGTATTCAACGTGGTTCTAGAAGAGGCAAAAACACCACAATCTTGGCAGGAGGCATCCATAACATCGATACCGAAAGAAGAGGCGGACCAAACTCTAATCAAAAACTATAGACCTATATCACTCCTAAATGTGGATTATAAGTTCTTCATGACAATAGTAGCAGGTAGATTTTAAAAAATTCTTAAACAAATTTATCCCTAAAGACCAAAATGGCTTTCTACCCAATCGGCAAATAAAACAGAATATGAAAATCATATTGGACGTTTTAGAGTATTATGACATTCATAGTGGTCAACAAATGGCATTACTCTTCCTCGATGCGCAAAAGGCTTTCGACAATGTTAACTGGTCATTCCTTTTATAACAAATTAAACCTATGGGTTTGGGTGAGAAATTCTCTAATATTATTAGTACAATTTATTCGGAACAGAAGGCTAAAATAATCGTAAATGGAGAGGCAACAAAGGATTTTAAGATCCAAAAAGGAACTAGACAAGGCTGCCCATTATCGCCATTACTTTTTATACTTACCCTGGAAGTATTGACCAGAATTGTTAGGAAGGAAACACAGATAAAAGGTCTAGAGATTAAAAAAGAGACATTTAAATTACAAGCATTTGTGGATGATTTGATATTCATTTTGGAGGATCCAGAACAATCAGGACCAAAACTTATTGAGATATTAGAAGAATATGGTAAAGTTGCAAGGCTAAAAATTAATAAGGCTAAAACAAAAATACTACGTAAAAACATGACAGAGAAGCAAAAAGAGAATCTGGCCAAAAAATGGATATACAGATAGTCAAAAAAGTTAAATATTTAGGAATTATTATTTCATCAAAATGCACCACATTCAAAGAAGAAAATTATGATAAATTATACCAACAAATTAAAGAAAATTTGGAAAGATGGAATAACCTAAGACTATCATTATTAGGAAGGATTTCAGTAGTTAAAATGAATGCACTCCCAAAATTGTTATTTTTATTTCAAAACATACCTATAAAGCTGAACCAAAACTTCTTTAAAGAATTAAAGAAGATAACCTCTAATTTTGTCCTGGCTGCTGATACTGGTCCCACTCGGCTCCTGTTACTTAATAGGGCCGGCAGGGCAGGGCCAGGGCTGGCCCCAACTTCAAATGCTTAACCTTCTTCCAATGATATTAGCATTTTACCCTCACTTGGTGCCTCACAAAGAAAATGTAGAGAAGGAACCTCCCCCCCCCCCCCAATTATCCTGCTGTGTATTAGAAGCCATGCTATTGACTTTGCACTATCTTATCTTTGGGGTCCCCTGTAAAGGGGGAAGGTGAGGAAGAAGCAGTTTCCTGCCCCCAGGGATGCAGGGAGGGCCAAGCCAGCCCCTGGGCCTCGGGCGGAACTATGCCATCAGCTTTGATGGGCTCTCAAGATAAGGGAGGGGGAGGCTATTGCGCCCATTGGGAGGCTGCATTCCTCAGGAACAATTCAGGGCAATCACTGACTTTGCAGAGGAGTTGACATGGAAATCTCCACCCTGTGAAGGGGGTCATCTGCTCTTTTAAACCTCATCCTGGCCATTTCCTAACCTTTTAACCCAGTGAATCTTTAATTTGCACACAAATAATGGAATGGTTGCAGAAAGTGCAACAAGACTCCACTTCCTGGCTTACTTTCTCAGCTGCTCCTGTGTTGGGGCCTTAAACTCCATGGCAGATGAAAGTGTTAGATTTCCAGAGTTGCACTCTGAAACTCAAGGTGCAGGAAGGTGCTGAAAGGCCTGAACAAAGATCCAGGGCGGGGAGGACAGGGACCCCCCCAGGCTTCTTCAGAGGAAGGGAAGAATGGGAAGGCCCATCCTCCTGCTGAGACCACGGGGGTTCAGCTTAGCTACTAAGAAGAAAGTTGTTTTGTTCTTCAAGGCTGTAAAGCCATCACAGACCAGGAGAAACTCTTTCCTCTCAGCACAAAATGCTGGAAATCCACCCACCCGGCCACCAAACACCCTTGCAGCAGACAACAGGCAGCGTAGCTTAATTCCCATCTACTTAAAAGAGTTTCAGCCTTCTGACGTTAATTGCAGAAGTTATAGACATCAGTTTGGACATGCAGTATTTTAAGCATACAAGGGAAAGACCACTCTAAAAATTCATACACTATCAGCCTTCCCATCTGCAGGAAAAGTGTTTTGATCATCAATGCAGAGCTCCAAATTGTTGGACATAATGAGGAATCACAACAACGTAGGACCCCTTGCTTGATGTCTTCCAGACACGTCTAGGAGGAGGAGTTCTACCGTTGCAGGACATCAATGAAGTCCAAGACAGAAGACTTTAGGGAGCAAGGCTGCCAAGCACAGTTGGAGGATTTGTGGAGGCCAACTGACACCCCAAGTGGGCCTTATTGTGCACCTGCAAAAACCCTTGCCCTTCTCTGAGGCAAAAGTTGGGAGGGGTGTCCTTTATGCTGTCTTGAGAGCACAGTGCTGCTGCTTTGCTGCTCTTCAACACTGCACACCGCATAGTCACCCCAATAAGTTTGTGAAGGCATGGTATAAATGTCCTTTTGCCCCAGTTTCCACCAAACAAGCACAGCCCCCAGGGAAGGGGAAGACCCTGCTGCAGAAGAGACACCCCCTCCACAGAAAGGCCAGCTCTGTGGTCAGATCAAAGAGGGAGCTCTTGCTGCTGGCCCTTCCCTTCCTCAACACCTTCCCTCTTTCCGGCCTGACACTGCAGTGCTGATGGCAGGAAGGAGAGCTCCCTGCACCCCACGGCTGGAGCCTGCTGCATTGCTCGAAAGGAGGGGTGCTGGGCGACGGGTCCTTTCTGCAGGCACTGGCATGTCCACCCCTGGGTGCCTTTAGGGCCAAGAGCTCCCTGGCCATGGAGCAGCTGGGGGAAAGGATCTGCCGGGGGGCACAAAGGGATTCTTCCCAAGATCATTTCCTGCAGCTCCTTTTGAGACACAACCACAAAATAGTCCTTTAGGACTCTTCTACGGAAACGCGTGCAACTTCCACACCTAGTTTATTTCTTGAATTATTCTGTACCGCCACTTGGAAGAGGGGAATACCTTTAAGCTGAACATGTAATTAGAATAAAGACAAGTATCTATTAAAACAAGCGTGTAAAAACTGTCCTGCAATGATGGGGTTGCAGGCCCAATACAGCATTTCTTGCAACAACTGACAGGCAGATTTTACCCAGAGACCCTGAAGGCACCTTTGGCCCACCCACCTCATCTGTCTTACAGGCAAGCAGAGAAAATGCAGGAAAACTGAGAATCACAAGATCTCACAGCCACTCTCTTTTGGAAGCACCAAGCTGGTTAACCAGCAAAGTAGCATCTCAAAGGACCATTCTGCTTTTTAGAGAATGGGGGAAGGGGCAGAGAAACATTTTGTGGCCAAGCAGTTTCTTCCCGAAAATCAGCAGGGGCCTCTTTTCTAACCTAGGGTCAGCCAGCCAGCTCTCTGCTCCTCAACAGCTCAGCAGTGCAGGCAGAGGCTCACATGCTTTGAAAGGGCCACAGGACAGCAATAAATCCACAAATACCAACTGAACGCAATCCTTTTGAGTTTTTAAAAAATTGATTTGGGGAATCAGCCACAAGCCATGATTCAGAGATGACAAGCCAGGGTTCACACAACTTATCTAGCCACAAAAAGCCAGCTGTGGTAGCACAGCATAATTTTCCAGGTGCTTAAAAACTAAGCAGCCTCCTGTGTCATCAACTGTATGGATTGGAGCACCAACCTTGCTGCCTCAGAGGGGAAACAGCTGCTGACGGGTGCGCAGAGGCAGATGCGCAGAGAAGGCCCAGCCGCTTTCAGAGCATGGAACACACCTGCTTCTTCAAAGCACCCCAGGATAGGTCAACCTGCCCCAAACCAGAGGCACCACCTCCATGATGTGCTGCCACTGGCCCTCCAAGGAAGTCACGGGAACTTACTTGCAAACGTGAGGTGTGCTTTCTGGCTGAGAACAGCGCCGTGTTTATTCAGGGCCAAGCACTGGTAGACTCCTTCATCCAGCCTTTCGCCAGGCTTGCCGCTCTCCAGCTCGCGTATGTATAAGGAGCCATTGGACAGAGAATGCATCTGCTCGCTTTCAGAGACTTTCACGCCATTTCTGAGCCAGGTGATGCTGATGGGGCCCTCACCCCGTGCCAGGCAGTCTAAAACCACCGCTTGCTTTCTGGCCACAGTCACATCTTGAGGCTCTTTCACGAAAAACAGTTCACTAAAGCTCCTTATCCCTAGAGAGCAAGAAGAGGGAAAAGTGAGCGGGAAAAGGCCTTTTACCCGCTTTTCAGCCACAGATCCCCAGGGGCCTCACTCTGGCCAGGAGCCTTCAACCCTCTGGGGCAGGCAGGCAGGCAGGCAGGCAGGCAGGCAGGCAGGCAGGGGAGAAGGGCTGGGCCTTCTGCTGGCCCCCAAAGCCTCTCCTCCTCCTCCTCCTCCTCCACCGGCTCTCGGCACCAGCCAGCTGCAGGACCGGCGCTTGAACGCGGCAGCTCGGAAAAGCGGGGCACCTCTGGGCCTGCAAGCCCTGGCCTCAAGTAGGGCCGCCCGGCGGAGGGGCCTGGCCGAGCTCCTTTGTGGCAGGGGAGGGTGGGCCGCGCGTTGTCCGTGGGGAGGCACGCGAAGGGACCCGTCGGGGAGGCTTTGCGGACGGAGCGGGCAGCCGGCCGAAAGCAGCGCACGGCCGGGACCGGGCAGCGGCGGGCGGGCTGCCCCAGCCCGGCCGGACTCTGGGCTGCCCCAGCCCGGCCGGGCTTCCAGCAGGAGCGCGCCCTGCCCGTCGGGGCTCGCCAAGGGCCGCCCCTCCGCACGTGCGCCCAGCGAGCCGGCTCCACAGTAGCGGCCGCGTCTTCTCGTCTCGTGGGCGGCTGTCTGGGCCGGGCGAACCGGGTCAGAAGCGCGGCGCCTGGTCGAGAAGGGACTCACCTGGGAGGGCGGCGAGCAGGAGGAGGGCGGCGGCGGCGAGGTCAGGGCTCCGGCGGGGCGCCATTTAGCAGCGAGCAACCGCGGGCTCTCCGGGCATCGCCCTTCCCGGCCGGCCAGCCGCGCGCGCCCCTCGCTCCCCGGGCCGAATGGCTTCGTTGGCGCGGCCGGCCTCTTGTTCCCCTCCGGCCGCGCCCGGATACAGAGCGGAGGCTGGCGCGCGCGGACAGACCGCCACACAAAAGCGGGGAGGGGTGCTGCGGGGCCGCCGGGGCAGGGCAGGCCGGGCCGAGCGGTGGGCTCGAGGCTCCCCGGACGCGCCGCGGGTCGGGCGCGACTTTTGCGCCGCCCGCTATTGGCCGTCGGCGCGGCCGGGGAGGGGCGAGCGACCCCTGGCTCGCCCCTCCCCGCGAGGCCGGAGCCGGCACCTGAGGTCAGAGGCGCCGGGCAGGAGGCGGGTCCCCGCGGTCGGGCGCGCGCATTGGCCGCCTTTCCCTGTCCGGCGGCGCTTTGCTTGGAGGGCGGCGGGCGGCAAGGCGCGCAAAGGGCGAGAGGGGGCGCGACGGCCGCTCGGTCCTTCCACGCTCGACGCCTCCCAGCGTCGCTTCGCGGACCCCGAGAGCTCCGCTAGCCGCCCGGTTTGTTCCTTTCCCAGCTCGCAACCGGCCACGGCTGAGCCTAACCCTCCCCGAGGAGTCTGCGGGCCCGCAGCTTGGCCTTCGTCCCGCCCCGCATTGGAGCGGCTCTTCCCCGGCCCGAAGCCAGCGAGCGAGCGAGGCCGGAGGGGGGGAGAGGCCGCGCCTGGGCTGAGACCGTCCGCCGCCTCCAACCCCCCCCCCCCGCCTGAATGCGGGGCGCGGGGGGGGCGGCAAAGGCGGTGAGCGGCCTCAGCCCAAGTAAGAGCTACAGGTTGCGGCGTTGTCCGCCGGTAATTCAGGGCAGGCGGTCGGAAGGCCCCCGGCGCGTCCTTCGCGCCTTGGTGGGCGGCAGCGTTTCGCACAACGCCCTGGAGCCACAGCTCTCCCGGCGCGGCTGTGCTTGCAAGCCGGGCCCGGTTTCCGTGCTCTCCTCCCCTGCGTCCTTCGCAGCCTTTAGTCCTGGAAGCGGCTCCCAGGGACCCAGAACCTTCCGCGGAGAGTCTCCATCCTGCAGCTCACGGTCGTCCCAAAGACGCTTTTCCAAACGGCCGCCTTTCCTTTCGCTTCTCCTTCAAGCAGCCGCTTCGGCTCTTCTTGGAGGAGAAGCGAACTGCTTCCAAAGGAGAAACCCGAGGGAGCCCAGGTGCCCCTTGAAAAGCCCCCTTGGAATTTCCGCTGGCCTCGGTGCCGTCGACTAGGGCAGGATTGGCGGGTCGAGCGAGCGTCAAACTCCCCGACAGACACGGAACGTGTCGCGCGGGGAACCGGCGTGGCTCCCTGGGTTTCAGGCGCCCCCTTCTGGGCTGGACGGAGCAGAAGAGCGAGGGGCCTCTGCCCTCTTGTGGCAAAGGGAGGGATCGCCCAGAGCCTGCCTTGGGGAAGCCCAGCGTCGCCCTTGGAGTGGGGAAAGCGCCTGGAAGGCAAGGCCCTGGGGATTCTCAGTCACCCTGGGCACGGTTGCCCCAAGGGAGCGTTTCACGCCAGCGCCCTCTACTTGGGGAAGCAGGAGGGCTGCCCTTGGAGGCGGGTTGGGGGCTCCAAAGCAGAACCGGGAAGGAAGAGGCCAAGACAACGTTGCAATTAAGCCTCATCATTAGACAGCAATAGCACTGGGGCTCCGTAGTGCTTACAATGTCAGCGTTATTTGCATATTGCCCCCAACAATCTGGGTCCTCATTTTACCCACCTTGACCAACCTCAGAAGGATGGAAGACTGAGCTAACCTTGTGCCCTGTCGGGATCAAACTCCAGGCTGTGGGCAGTTTTCCTGCAATACTGCACTTTAACCACTGTGCTGCCTGGGCTCTTGGTGGATATAATGCACAAAACTAGAAGAACATAGTGAACAATGCCCACTTTTGTCTGCATTTCCACTTGGAAACCATTTCTTCTCTGCAGCAAATAGAAACCCCGGCCTGCCCCCCCCCCCCCCCAGTATCCCATCCAAGCTTTGCTTGGCCCCCGTGGGCTCTCCCCTTGGGAGCCAGAGGATCTCCCCAGGCCTGTGGGAGCCTTCCAGAGCTGCTGCTTTGGGGGCCTCCCTCGGGCACTTTTTTGAGGGCTGCCCAGTCAGGCTCACAGCTGGGAGGCTACAGGAATTGGGACCATAAGCTTCCCTCGAGCTGGCCCCCCCACAAGCCTACCACGGCTGTCCTCCCACCCACTTTGCCCCACTCTCCCATGGCAGCGGCATTACTGGGTTGGGGTTGTTACCATTAAGGGCCCCCCCTCCCTCCTGGCCACTTTGCTGAACCCAGGACCCCACTTGAGTCCTGCGGCCACCAGATCTCCCCATCCAGCCTAGCTCACCTCTAACTCCAATGCCGCTTTCCTGGGGGGCCAGGGAGCGGGAAGGTGCGGCCCAGGGTCCTCGCTTTTTCCCAAAGAGGAGCGCTGGGCCTGGAGGAAAGCGAGTGCCAAAGGGACAGCGTCCGTGAGCCTGTGTCCAGTCCAGGAAAGCCCCCCGAGTCCCCCCTCCCTCCTCAGGCCAAGAAAGAATGGAGACCCTTGAATTCCCAAGAACTTGCTTCTGGAGTCAAACTTCATAGAAAATGTTTTATTGTTCCTGAAAACATTAAAAAACAAATGTTGAGCACTTCCAATAAAAAAATGAACTGAAATGCTACGCGGCAAGACCTACCCACTGTCCTTTAGCGGTCCAACAGACAACGAAACGCTCCTCGAAAGCTAGGTGGCTGGGTTTGGGAGGGGGAGTTCACGGAGGGTCCAGGTGCGCCAGGAGTGGCTTCTTCACCCACTTGGGGAAGCAGCAGCGTCTGACCAAGGGCGGCCTTTAAGCCTGGCAGGATTGTGAAGCGAGCGGGCAACTCCCCATGCCAATCTGGTTGTGCAGAACTGGCCCCGATCCAGCACGGGGGGGGGGGGGGGGAGGGAGAGATGGGGCGGCTGACAGGAGTCTAACTAGCACGAACGAGGCAAGCCGAGAGAACACCGCATGCACATGGGTGAGGATGCACCAAGGGGTGAGGCAAACACAGACTGTTCCTGCTGTAAGATTCTCAGGTAAGAGAATAAGAGGAGATGTATCTCACTGAGATAATTTTGCTACATAAAACAAGCAACCTTTCCTTCGGGGACACCCGGCCTTTCCTGGTAGAGGAACAGCCCAGAACCTCCTCCTCCTCCTCCTCCTCCAAACTGCCCTGATCCCGGGGAAGGGGTGGGCCACGAGGAAGGGCAACAGGGAGGCCTGGGCTGTGGCAGTGCTTAGACCCCCAGGAAGGGCAGGCAAGGGAGAGTGAGGGGACGGCCCCCTAGCACCATTACAGCTGGGATGGGGGGGGGAGCCCCTTCACACTGGGGTTTGCGCCTGGGCCCCGCCGCCCCCCCGGCCCCCCCCCCCCCCGCTTCCAAGCACCAGCGACACTATTGCTGGAAAGAAAACGGAAGTGGGTGTTTCTATCTAAGTCTGCACTCTGCCCAGGGGCACACCTGGATTGGGCACTGGAAGCCCACTCCTTTACGCCCAGCGCCCCACCTCTCTGTATTATCCCATAGGACAGCCCCACCAATACTACTTGAGTGGGGTATGTGTGTGTGTGTGTGTGAACCATACAGCCAGCAGTGTGGGGTGGGTCACTAGGCCTGGGCCACCCTGGAAAAAGCCAAGGCTTCCTCCCTGGCTGAGGACCACACAGAAACAAGTGGCCCCAGGGCCCTTCATGTGCTTGTACAGGAGCAGATTCTCATAGCTGCACAGGCTTCACAAGACACACCTTTACGTGGGAATAAAACCCGCAAAAGCTTGTGGAGACAGACCTCCTCCTAAGTCAGGGATCGGGTAGAGGGGTGACGGCTCCCAGGCCCCAGAGGGGAAGCAAAAGAGGCCTGACTTTGCCCCCTCCCCCTCTTCCCACTGCTGACCTGGCGTAAGGCAAGGGCGCTGCCTCCTGGGCGCTTCCTCGTAAGGCATCCCAGCCCAGAAGGGAATTAACGCACCTTGAACCACAAGGGGCTCCTTGGGCTGGTTCTGCCCAGTCAGCTGCCTCAGGGCACTTTCTCCTCCAACAGGCAGGACCACCCCACCTTCCCTGGAGTTGTGCTGGTAAGAGGCTCAGAGCTGGTGAGACGGGGACGCCAGGCAAGAGCGGTGCCCTTGGGACAGCTGCTCATCTGCTGGTGTTGAAGTGCCAATCCCTGGGACCCTGCCCCAGCGCCCCTCCTACTTCCAGGGGGTGCTGGGAGGAACACTTCCAAGGATGGGCTCAGCCACGGCAGGCTCCCCTTAGTTTCTACCATGGAAGGCCTCGGAAATTCACCCTCCAGCGTTAACAAGATTCCTCCAACTGGGCATGACTTCGTTAAGGAAGAACTGACCAATTGTGTCAATCATCGAAACACTAACTAGTTTCTGCAGAAAAATGTTTCTTTTTTTTTCTTTCTTTCTTTCTCAAAAGCCTGTGAGTTAGGGAAACCCGAATCATGGTCATTCTTGCATTCTAGTTTTTCATGTGAACAAAAAGAACTATAAATCCTGACAAACATTTTAGGGTAGAGTTGCCATGGAAGGAAGAGATTTATTAATTGCAGGGGTTGGAACTAATCTTCTCTACTCAAGGACATTAAAAGCAGCATTAAACTGTTTGTTTGCTTTTAAAACATTCTGGTGTTTTCTTAATATGATCCACCCTGCGATAAAAGGTTTTGGGCTGCGTCTCCTTTCTTGGGAGCCTCTCCTGCTCCCAGCCACAAATTAGCCCTTGATAAGGAGTTAACATCCACCTGACTCGGAGTTGTGCTGTCTATCGCTGGCCTTCCCTGGCAACTGGCCAATGAGCACCCCCCCAGGGCCCTCCCATGGAGCGGGGGGGGGGGGCAAGTCCACCATCCTTTGGGAAAGGCCCCCCGGGGATCATCTCCGACCAAGTGACCTGGGAGCGCTGGCCCGGCTGCCTTTCCCACTCTGCGGGCACACAGAGTTTGTTTGTGACCAGGGTGTTTGTTCTCTCTGGTGTGCCAAGCGTGCCAGCAGTGGCGCAGGCTCTTTATGCACCCAGGGCACAGAAGCACTTCCCGATCCGATGCACCATGCAACCCATCCATGCACCCTCCCAGTTTCAGCATTGCCTCTCTGAACCCCGAGGCCAATGGAAGGCCCTGCAGAGCAGGCGGAGGGAAGGCTGGTGGGGAGAGCTCCCTCCCTCCCTCCCGCAAAAACTCTTTCTCCTCCAGAGGCAGCAAGCCATGTTTTTTCGGTAAGCAACATTTTTAAACCTAATACTGGCTCTGGAGCAGGCTGCATCCTTCAGAAATGCCTTAAAAATCGGTTAAGATTGTATACACCCTGCTGAAGAATAAAGCAGCTGGTAGAGCAGTTCTTTTTTTAAAAAAAATGTCACAAATTTTGTTTCTGCTGCAGGAGGCACTTCCATTAAGACAAATACAGCATGTCTTGTCTTTAGGTTTTCTTAAATACAGTGTGCTACATAGATTTTATACACACATACACACACACGTGTGTGCGTGTATATATATATTTACACACACACGTATATATACACACGTATATATACACACGTATATATACATACATATACATATACATATACATATACATATACATATATATATATATATATATATATATACGCACTCACTCACAAACATGTATATGTGTGTATACATACACACACACGTGCACGCACACCTTAACCCAACATTTCCACAGCGGGATGGTCCTTACTCTCCATCCAGTCGAAACCTGCAGAAGTCATAGAGCTGATGGACTCGTTGCAGATCTGCTGGAACAGGGGGTCGTTCTTCAATTCTTCCAGTGTGGCCTCGTCGTCTTGGCCCTGCGGGTGGGCTGGGTCAAAGAGCAGGTTGGGGTCCAGGGCGTTCAGGTCGTTCATGCTCCCAGAGAGCTCCGAGGTCAGCCTCATGTCGCTGGAGAAGACTGAGGTCACGTTGGTCAAGTCAGGAGGCACCTGGGTGCCCTGCAGGCTGCTCTCCTCCAAAAGCTCCTTCACGGTGCCGCTGAAATCCAGCTGCTGCTCCCCAGCTTCCGAAGAGGCTGCGGTGTCCCCAGAAGCAAAGTCTGCCGGGTCGGGGCTGCTGTTCTTAGCGAGGTAACCTGGTGTTTGGAATTCAAAAACGGACGGGCTGCACGGGGGCATGTTCTGGGCATTGGCACTTGGAAAGGCAGCAGAAGTCTCCAAAATCTGAGTCAGGTTCATCCTGGCGGTGTAATTAGAGGGGAGGTTGTTGATGCCCAGGCCGCGCATGGCATCGTCGTTCTCTGAGTCCAGCTTGCTGAGCAAGACGTTGGTGATCTTCTTGGAGCTTGGCTGCTTCTGAGGCTGCGGAAAGGCCGTTTCCATCATCACCGTCAGGGGCACCGACTGGCTGCGCTGGGCGAGGTTACTGGCACTTGGGTCTGCATGGACGTTCACCAAGGAGGTGTGAACTTCCGGGGCGACCGGACTCCCAAAAGAGCCCACCATCGTTCCAGAGCGAAGCACGGCTGTGACAGGACAGACCGTGCTTCCGCTAAGATTCCGCTGGCGGTGCACGGCGGGACTGACGCTCCGGCATCTGAAATGGCCGCCATGAGAGGAGCCGGTCCCTTTGTTATCGAGAGGAGCAGGGACGGCAAAACCTTCCTGCTTGTTGCCAACGGGGGAGACGGGGGTCACTCTCCCAAAATGGGGATCGTGGTGCCGTGACTGAGACTGGTAGGACTGGCCAGGGACAGCAAAGGCATGAGGCTTCCTGAAACGGTCCTCCACCGACTCCTGGTAGCCAGGCAGAATCCCCTGGCTGGTGACAGAGGAGCCCCCCACGCTCCCGTAGCCGGCATTCATCCATTCCAGTTTGGTTTTATCGGGGTGGGTGGCCATGGGCCGCTGCATGGGCTTCACAGGACTGCTGGAAACCACGCTGGCATCGTGGTAGGCCATGCTGGAGCTAATGGGGGTGAAAGCAAAGGGGTTTCTACACTCTACGGGGCTTGGGGGCACGCTGCTGCTGCAGTTAGAGTGGGGGGTGCCGACAGGCGTGTGCCGGCTGCTTCCCAGGGCGCTGTCAACAGGCGTGGTCTGGGCCATCCTGGAGCACGGACTCTCCCGTGACACACCTTGCGATCCTGCCATGATTTCAGAGGTGGGTGTGGGCGTGGGCGTGGGTGTCGGGGTGGGCGTGGGCGTATGAACAGGAGTGCCGCTGCTGTGGATCGAGTGGTAGAAGTGGGCACTGCTGGGGTGAGGAGCCAAGGGTCCCCCCTGAGCTTCCCCCTGGTTCTGGAGAGCCATCCCCAGGGAGGCGCCGTAGAGGTGTGAGGTGCTCAGGGACATCTGCTCCTCCATCAGCACCAACTCCTCCACGATGCTGTCCTGGGTCAGGTCATCGTCAAAGGAGAAGAAGTTCTCGTGGGACTGGGAAGCGGCGTCCTCAAAGTCCTTCAGCTCCTGCTGCAGGGGCAGCTGGCCGGAGCTCTGGCCAGGCAGGGGCTGGTCAAGAGGGGGTGGCGGGACCTGATCTGGCAACGGCTGCCCAAAGGCTGCCCCGGCTGGCTGGAACCCTTCCAAGTGCACCGGTTCCCAGGCGGACTTGGCCAGGTCCTCAGCATCGCATGGTCCAGCCAGCGCCATAACACTGATGGGGGGCTTGCAGGCCTCCTGGGCGAAGGGGGACCCCTTGGCCAGCTGCTGCCACACACTGGGGTTCAGGCTGCCCTCGGACTTCGAGCCGTTTCCTAGGACAAAAATGTCTCCTTCCAACTTCATTTCCACACCTGCCGAGGAGGCTGCTGGGGGCGGCTCCAGCAGGGAGTCGCTGGGGGCAATGATGAGGTCAGCATCCAGGGGGCAGGAGGCCTCCAGGCTGATCCCTGAGCCTGCGGACTGGATTTGGAGGGCCGCCTGGCCGGGACCCTGGAGAAGGGCAGCCGGACTGTCCCTGTTAGGGAGAGGCAGGACGCCCGTCTGCTGGGCTTTCTTCGCACCGCTGGCCTTGGGGGCTTCTGCAGAGGCTTGCCCCACAGAAAGCTTCTTGACAGGGGGGCCCTGAGCATCCACAAAGGCAGAAGGCAGCCTCTTCCGCAGGCCTTTCGGGCACCCTTGGTCGCCTGCAGTAGGCGAGGGGGCGATGCTGGCGCTGGAGACATGCTGAGCCGCCTCCGGGGGGCCTGGGGGGCCTTCATGCGCTTGGGAAAGGGATTTTCTCTCTGAATGCGCCCCCCGGGGGTCACCGCTTGCTGCTCCAAGACGCTCCTCCGCCTGGCCTTTCCAGGCCTCGGCTTCCCCAGTTCTCAACTGGTCCACAGGTGTTAGCAGGGTGACTCTGACCGCTGGAGCAGGGTTTGCATTCTCCTGGTTCTGCTGCAAGCTCTCATCTAGCACCAGTTCTGGCTCCAGCTTGACCTCGACCGAAGACGAGGCAGAAGCTAGGCCTCCGCTACCACCTTTGGTTCCCGGGGACTGGAGTGAAATCACAGACCCGTTCTTGATCTGAGGGATGCCCCTGGGCTCGTCTGCAGCTCCTGCGCCAACAGCGGAGGCTGTGTGCTTGACGGGCGTGCCACTGGCACCGCTCGGGGCAAGCGAGATGGCAGTCATTTTGACCACGTTCATGTGCTGAGCAGGAACCACCGTCTTGATTGGGCTGCTCGTGAAGAGCACTGTGGTTGGGGAACGAATGGTGAGTGCGTTGGTGTTGGCTGGCTTTGGCAGGATCTGGGCATAGCGATGACGGGCAGAGCGATCTCCCACGGGACTGGCCGGTACATTCTGAGGAGTCTTTGGAGACTGCTTGACGGGCTGCATGGGCTGAGTGACCACCTGGACGTTGAGTGGAAGGACTTTGCCCTCGGCCGAGCCCATCGGGCTAGGAGACGTTACCAACTGCCGGGACCTTGGCACCTGCAGGGGAGGAAAGGGGACACCAAGGCTGCGCTCTGAGCTGCCCAGTTTGCTTTCTGGCCAGCGGGGACTCCATGCACCTTCCCACCCACAGCCATGCAGGACTCTCCTTCCCATCCCCCCCCCGCCCCCCCTCTTTGCCCTCCCAAGTCTTGACTCAGGGCCTCAACCGACCTCTGCCCCTCCTGGAGTCGCTCCTGCTAACCGCCTCTCCAAATCGTGGAAGGAGCCCGGGGCCCCCTCCGTGGGTCTCTGCCTGGTCCCGTCCCAGCGTTCAACGCTGCTGGTGGCAGCCCTGCCCGCCCCTCGCTGCCCCCCCCGGGAGACTTACCGTGATGGGGCTTGGCACGGCAGCCACCACAATGCCAATGGACTGAGGGGACAGGATGGCCGGGCTCCCATTCGGAAGACTGGCGACCCCGTTGCTGGCTGTGCCCTCGGCCTTCTTGGCGGGGGACTCGCCTGGCAGGGGAGACTGCAGTTTCTGCTCCTGCTGCTTCTTCTGGATCTTGCGCTGCAGCTGCTGCTTGGCATCCACGGGCAACGGCAGCGTCTTCACCTGGGGCTGGAAGGAGTTGCTCTCTGCCGTCGGGACAAAAGCCGATGACGGCTGCGGGATCCCCTTGAGTCCTGGAAGGGGCAGGCAGGGCCTTGACCAGGGGAAGGCTCAGCTCGGCCCTCCCAGGAAGCCCCCTTCTCCGCCACCCCGGAGGGAGCAGGGAGGCCCAGGGTGCTCTTTTACACGGGCAAAAGAAAACTGGGCAGCCCCCCTCCCTCTCCTCACCATTGCCCAGTCCAGCGGACTAGCTGCCATAGACGCCTGGCGGACCCCCTACCGGCCCAGCGTCGTCCACAGCCGAAGTGCCTTTCTCAATGTCCGGAGTGAAACCACACCCTGGGCATTCATCTTGACCCAGGGAGGCAGCTCTTGCAAGGCTAGGTGCCTTCCTGATGCCCCTCAGGGGTGCCCGGGTGAGAGGGAAACTGCTTCCTCCCTTCTTACCTGCGGGGGCACCTGCCATCACTGCCAAAGCTGCCATGGACTTGGTGCCCGTGTAGTGGCTTTTCACCAGGAAGCGGGCCAAGTCCAGGACAGAATCAAAGGGCTGGCTGAGCACTTTCTGAGCCCACTCGCAGACCAGCTGGCAGGCAGCAGACACAATCTCCTCATCGGCACTCGGCAAGCGCCCAGCAGGCTCTGCTCCGTCCAGCTGAGAGCGAAGCACAAGGAAGAAGGACTGACAGGTGTGCTTGGGGTTGCCTTGCCCCCGTCTCTGGGAAACCGCCCCTTGGAGGACGGAAGGAGCCCCCCCCGGCCCGGAGGGCTCCACCTCTCATCCAGGGAAACGGGGCCTGGGAACCAACAGCTCCAGAGGCTGCTGTGAAAACTCCTATAGCAACCTCAGTTTTGGTCAGGAGGATTATTTCAACCCAAGTTTTATGGAAAGTCAACTTCTCTCTTTAAAACATCACTACCCGCAATTAAGGCTGCTGTCGGTAGACGGGGCACAGTGGTGGGTGTCTGGCTAAGGCACACGCACACGCTGCCACAGTGCGCCTTGCCCTGCTGCAGAGTTTCACAGCCCCAGGCCTCCAAAGGCACCTCCTCCTCATTCAAAGCATCTCTGTGCAGGAAGGAGTCCAGGATGCAGCCCGACGAGGAGGATTCTTCGCCAATTGAAGGCCGGCCTTCTCTTTCTAGAGCAGGGGCGTGAAACTCGATTTCGGGTGTCAAATCCCTTTCGTCCTCCGGCTCCTGGAGCCCTTCCCCGCAGTCAACGCCCCGGAGGTGGCCGCCCACCCGCCTGCCCGCCCGGAGGAGACCTGGAGGGCAGCAACTTACCCCGTCTCCAGTTTTGGGGAAGTCCAGATTGGGGAGCGACGGCATCTGCACGAGTGCTTTCTTCCGAAGTCCACTGTAGCAATATGTGATTTCAAACATTAAGGGGCTATTATCTGCTTCCAAGCACTGCCTGCTATGTGGCCACAGCCCAGAGACGCCCGAAGCCCTTCCCAAAGGATATTTTGATTTGCCTCGCGTGCCTAGGCGCCGGGCCTTCATGTTGGGAAACACGTTCTTCATGATCTTGCCAAAGTCTGCGGCACTGAGCGGGTGGTAGCCAAGATTGTCACAGTAGCTCCTGAAACGAAAGGAGGGTCACGGGAGAGGCCCCGGGCCCGGGGCCTGGCTCGGCCGAGGACGGGAGAAGAGTGTCCAAGAGCAAGCCGACCGAGTGGCAGGGAGACCTGGAGGCTCCGCGGAGAAAAGGGCAGCCGGCCCTCCCAGAGATTGCCCACCAGAAGGGAGGGGCCTGCTTCGTCCAGCCAGCCCCACGGCTTCTAACCCTAACCCTGCAGTCCCTGCCACTGAAGACGCTCCTGGGATCAGAGGGAACCCCATTCCCTGTCCCGCCACCCGCTTCCTTCCGCCTGACCAGCAGGGAGAGCCCAGAAACCTCAGGAGGAGGAGGAGGAGGAGGAGGAGGAGGAAAGAGGGGAAGGTGGAAGGGCAGCCCTAGAGAGCCTCCCACCAGCCCTCTGGGTGAGGGGAGGGAACTGGTACCACAAAACCCATCTCAGCACTCCCCCAGCTCTTCCCCGGGGAGCCTGGCTGCCCAATCTGGGCCGTGGCACAGCAAAGCCCCAGCATCGGAGAGCAGGCTAACGGTGGCTGGAGGGAGAGCGCTGGCATGCCGGCATCTCGGCCCAGATGGTGGGAATGGCCTCTCTCGCCAGGTGGCAGGCGAGCCCAGCTGTGGAAGACTGACCGCTCCTCCTCCCCGAGGTCTCTGAGACTCCAAGGGGAGACTTGCCCAGGACCTCCCTCCAGGTCAGTGGGGCTGAAGAGCTGCCGCCTCAATTTGGAGGGGAGTCTCCTCCAAGCACCCTACGGAGCACAAGGCGAGCAGAGGTCCGGCAACCGCCTCCCTGAGATCCAGAGAGGGGAGCAGCCCAGCAGGCAGAGCCGAGGGGCACCAGGGCCAGAGGCTGCTGGAGAGGGAGAGGGCGGAAAGCAGCCCGCCGGCCCTTTGCAGGCGCCCTCCCTGGCCCCGGACGGGAGACTCACTTGTACTCATCGTACACCTCCTGCTTGGGGAGGGAGGTCTCCGGGTGTTCCTCCAAGGTGCTCCGGATCCAGGAAAGGGCGTGCACCTGCTGAGCGCGGCTGGAGGAGACAGACAGCTGGTCGCTGCAGCAGGAAGAGGGGACATCGGGCGTTAGCATCATCCCCACCAGATGCCCCCCTGCCTGGGCTCAGGAGGAGGCGGCCTCAGTCCGCGAAGGCCCTTGTCCCTGGGGAAGACCCACCACAGGAGCTGCTTTCCAATCGGCCTCCCTGGGGCTGAGGGCCTCGAGTGTCGCCATACAGAGCTGGCCCGGAGTAAGGAGAGCACGTGCCCCACGAAGCAGTGAGACCTCTGCCCACGTGGGAAGCAGTGGCCCGGAGGGTCTGAGGCAAGCTCCCCGCGGAAGGCTGTGGTGCTCTCTCTCACAAGGGAGGCACTGCACAAGCCAAGGCAGTTCGCAGAGGCGGCGGCCAGGGGGGCAGTGAAAGGGGTGCGGGGAGAGGGCTGGAGGTCACGGAGAAGGCCTCCTTCCAGCAGGGGCAGCAGAGCTCAGACACTCCCCAGGCCCTTCCCAGAAAACTCCCTTTCCATTAACCCTGAAGGGTTCAAGGTATTGCAGAACCGGCCCTTCCTTGGGAAAGGCTTCTCACTCTTTCCCCAGAGCCAAAGGCACCACGCCAGGCCACCCCAGAGGAAGCCCTCCCGGCACGGCTGGGTGACTGGGTAGAGTTAAGGGAGGGGCAGATGCTCTTCAGGTCCTGGGATACCCCCCCCCTTACCTTTTCTCGCCATTGCTGGGACCAGAAGGCAGTTGAAGGTAGAGGTAGAGTTTCTGTAAATCTGTAAACTTCTCAACTTCTTGCTAAACACAGAGGGAGGGAGGTCACCACCGTGAGGCCAGCACCTCGGAGCTCCTGTTCCCACAACCTCTTTCCTGGGAAATCTCAGGGCAGCCTAGAAAAGCTGGCCGCCTCCTTCCCTGCCCCGCTGTTCCTCCTGCCCCAGAGAGGTGTGGGCCTTTGCTGTCTGGAAGCTCTCAGCCAGCAGCTCAGAGTTTTTTGGGACAGGGCCTTCCCCCAAGAAGCCTAAGGACCCTCTCTTTGGAAGTCCCAGCGCCTGGCCCCATTTCCAGCTTTTACTCACCAAAATGCAGTCCACTTTAGATTGTACAGCTTTGCTAAAAAGGGAGGGGGGGGAAGGAAAAACAAAAACCCAAAAGTTAACAGGCAGGGTCGTTATAAACAAGCGCACATCCTAAAGTTTCTGTGCAGCACCGCAGGCTCCCCAACTGCTCTCATGGGAAAAGGGCCTGGAGGACTGTCAGCCGCCTTCCATTTTGGCAGAAAAGCAAGAGGCACCTGAAGACTGACAAGAGGGACCTGGAATCCCCTGCTTCAATCGATCAGAACCTTAAGGAATGTTCTCTCTGCATCCTTTCATCTTTGAATGCCTTTATTTAAGGAGTGGACACCTCCAGGCCGGGAGGTCACTTTCAGTGTGTGTGGGGAGCATATAATGTTAGACCCGCTGACCGGTGCTTTTCCAAGCGTGTAGGAGACCAGAAGAGGAAGAATGCTGCCAAACTCCGGACAGCTCAGCTCCTCGGGAAGCCTCCGGTCCAGAGAAGAGAGGCAAGATGACCGTCAGGAGTGGCCACTCCCTCTTTGTGGAGAAGCAGCCTGGCCAGGAATGTCCCAGCTGAGATGGGACAATCCACAATCCACCCCTGAATGCACCTTCTCTGGCTCAACCACAGAAAGCAGAAAGTACCTCTGATCCGATTCTGCCCCTGTAATTCTCACCCCGGGGGAGGGGGGGGCATCTAAATTCCCTCCACGAGGAAGGCCACTGCAAGGCCGCTGCCCACTCAGCTTCCTCTCCTCAGTCAACTGAAGCCCATTCAAAGCCAGCCCGCCCCCTGACCATTGCCTTGTCTTGTGGCAATGAGTCCTACCCGCCATAACGGTGCACTCTCTGTTTTGCTGGTTCGGCCTCACACACTTCGTCTCCCGGCTCTCCTGAGCCCCCAATTTCATGCTAGTCCAGCCCTCAGGCTTCAGGCACAGCAGCCTGATGCTGCCCCCCCCGCCCCCCCCCCGGACTCTCACCAGCACCCAGGAGGTGCAGGGAAAGGCCGGGCTGTGGGCAGGATCTAGCCTGCCCCCCCGCCCCCCCCACCAGTGCCATGGCAAGAGAAAGCCACCAGGACGTGGGAGGAGCAAAGCCGAAACAAGGGGGCGCAGCAGCGGCATTTCCACCCTGGGCGGAGTCTGCCAGCATCTGCCTTCAGCGGCTGCACCCCACACCCCATCCTGCTCTGCAAGGGAGGCAGCCTGCCCTGCCCTGCCCTGCCCTGCCCAGCGCAGCTGATGCTGGGCTGGGATCCGACGCCCAGCATCGGCCACACAGGAGCAGCAGCAGCGGGGCAGAAGAGCCCACTGCCCAGGAAAATGCGGCTCTACAATGTCTAGGAAAGGCCCCCAACCCACCAGGCCCCGGCTCCTTTACTTGTGGCCAAGGGCAAGTGCCTGCCTGGGTTGCTTGCAGCTCCCCAACCCAGCCCAAAGGGACCCCAGTTGTCCTCAGGGCTACTTGGTAAGTTCAGGGGCCATTCCAAAGCAGCGGGGGCGGGGGGCGCAGGTCACACCCATACCAAGAGCGACAGACTTGCGAGTGGCACCTTCAGCAGGAGCTCCCCGTGGCCGTCAGTCATGCAGAGCAGTGCTGTTGTGCAGGGCAGGGGCATGCCCGAGATAACCGAGGCAGCCATGGAAACAGGTCAGGCTGAGCTCCCCCGAGTCCTGATGCTCTGCCTCTGTAAAAGCCCCCACCCCACCCCCACCTGGCCCCACAGCTTGCAAGCCATCGTTTTCTGCCTGCCTTCTGTATCCGTGGGGTCAACTTGCCTCCCCCCAACTCAATGCCTCCCTCCTGTTCTCTGCTGTTGGGTCATGAATTCTCAAACTCTTTCGGGTTTTCCTCCCCACACCCGATTTGTGCTGTATGAAAAGCAGGACAGGTTCCAGCAACCCCCACACAATGCCTGGCCGACTCTCTGGGCCATGAGGGTCCCAGGTGTCTTCTCCCATCTCTGGGCCACGCCCCTCCTGCTATCCTCCCAAAATTCACCTAAACTCCCACATCCAGAGAGGCGAATCTTCCATGCGGACACAAAAACGATTAGCGTAAAAGCTTTAACAAAGCGAAAATAAAGCAGAAGCCCAGAGATTAAATCTCCAAAGGCAGCAGAAGCCCGGACAATCTTCCGTTCCATCCGTGAAGGAGAAAAGGAGAATCTCCAGCCTTTTCATCCAACCGGAGGAAAAATGCAGCGCCAGGCAGCCAGACAAAACAAAGCCACCACATGGCCTTGCAGTGGTGGGCTTGGCTGCGCCTCCTTTCACGCAAAGAATCTGTTGGAGGAAAAATGGCACCATTTCGAGAGAGGGAGAAGCAGCGGCCACGGACACCTCCTCCGCCACTGCGGAGCAAGAAGAGAAGGGTCTGCATCGGCTGTCACAGGGGGCTTGGAGGAAAGGTGCCCCTCCCTGTCTCGGTCACCACTCTCTACATGACTCCCCCCAACCAAAAAAACACCTTAGCCACGTGATGCCCATTTGGGGGGCGGAGGGGCAGCATGTCACTGAGATGGAACAAAAGGGCTGAAACGATCTCCCGGAGGAAAAACAGAGCAAGGTGAAATGACAAATAAACAGGGATTAGGGTGTTGTGCAAATACAGCGGGGCGGGGTGAGGTGCTTAATGCAAGCTCCACAATGCCAAGGACTGCAAGAGGCAGGGCGGATGGCTGTTGCTTAGCTCTGCTGTGGGATGGCTGTTTTTCTGCCTTTGATGCCACCTTCTCCCTTCTCTCCCCGGCTGCCAGTGCCACCACCCACTGGGACATTCTTGGACAGGCCAGTTCTATGTGGGGGTGGGGGGAGGCCCCCCCGGAATGCCCCCTTCTTTGAAGCAATTTGATGTGCTTTGTGTTTCTGAGGGCTTTTTCTTTTATTCAATCAGCATCTGAGAATATGCAGGCGTTCTATGACATCAATTGACTGGTCTCCGACTTGATATAAATTATTTTGCACATTACTTTTTTTTTTTTTTGCCTTAATCCATTTGAACGTTTGCTTTAATTTTCTATGGTACTTTGTTGGGATGTATGGCCCCAAGAGTATTGTAGATGAAGATTTATCGTCGCTGTAACACTGTTTACTTGTAACCTGCCTTTATTATTTTTACAAATAACCGAAGGCGGTGAACAGATCCCACACAGCTTCCTATTTTCCCCACAACAAGTCTGAGAGGTAGGCTGCGCTAAGAGAGAAGGACTGGCTTAAGGTCACAAATGTTATTTGTAAACCATTCAAAGTCACAGCTGAAATGAGCTGTGTAGAAATTGATAAACAGCTATTATCAACTATAAGAAAAAGTGACGCCATTAGCTAACGTGATCCTGTGGACTTCTACGAAAACATTTAAAAGCAAGCCCCTTGTAAAAGAATGCCATTCGTCCTGTCGGCTGCCCACAATAGCTAAATAAATGGCTCCAATTTATCATCAGCATTTCTGTTCAGATTATTTTTTTATTATTATGTGTGATAACCCCCTGTAGGATCACCAATCCCACCCCACGGGCTTTTGGTAGGCAGGTGGACTCTTCTGGTGGGCCTACCTGGAGGTAGTGTGTCACTTGTGAGTCACAGAGGGACCCAGCAGGTGTCAGCGGCATTATTGTTTTTGCTCATGGACCACCTTGGGTTGAAAAACTCATTTTATGGCACATGTGCTGCTGTTGAGGTCCCTGGTCTTTTCCCTCCATCCAGGTACATAAAGCCACCCAGTCCAGATATGGCACAGCCACCACCAAGTCTTTCCAAATACGTTTGGCTAATTTACTGTTTAAAAGGCTTTCCTGGTGTTCCGATCTTCCCGGCTCTAAAGCAGCTTGCAGCAAAAAGCAACAATGCAACGCACTCGACACACGGATGACATCTCCCCCCCCCCCCCCACGCCAACCCGCGGCTCAGCTGAGGAGCGAAGA